AAGTCTATTGGGGAACAAGTATGTGGTATCAATTGAAGATTATTTCACAAAGGTCCTGGCATTGGTTCCAGTCCCTAATCAAGAAGCTGCCACAGTGGCAGAAGCTTTGCTGCATCATTTCATTTGCATTTACGGGTCACCTCTTCAAATTCATTCCGACCAAGGAGCCCAGTTTGAATCAAAACTATTTAAAGAATTATGTGAAATGTTCTGCATGAGTAAGACAAGAACGACTCCATATCATCCACAGTCTGATGGTATGGTAGAAAGATCAAACAGGACTGTGGAGGCTATGTTGTCTAAAATTGTTGCATCCGATCAGAGGGACTGGGACCGATGTCTCCCCTTTGTTGTTTCTGCTTACAACAGTGCTGTTCATGCTACTACTGGCTACAGCCCAAATTTTCTGATGTTCGGAAGGGAGGTTCGGACCTCCACCGATCTATTGCTCGGGCCTCCTCCTGAAATTGAGAGGGGAAAACTTGATAGCACATGTCATACAAAATACTGTGAGAAATTACAAGAAGTTCTACTCAATATTCACGAGGCGGCTCGCGGCAATATCAAATTATCTAGTGACCGACAGAAGAGAGGGTATGGTGTCAAAGCAAATTTAAAGTCATTCAAAAAGGCTGTGAAGGTTGGCCAGACTCCTAAGTTTGCTCTAAAGTGGCATGGACCCTATGAGGTGGCGGAGAAAATAGATGATTTAAGGTATCTAATTAAACTTAATGAGAGAGATACAAGAGTCATTCACCACGACCGCCTCAAAACATTCATTTCACAAAATACTAATGAGAGTCTAGATCAAGAGACTGAAACCCCTGTTGAGAATTCCCAACCCTCAGATTTTGAGAATGCCCCTGAAATTAAAGAAAATGAGACTGGAAATTCTAGAGGGCAAAGGACCCGAAAGAAACCTGAATGGCTGACTGATTATGTTATAGAGTAGTCTCACTTCAGATTTCATAAGTCGAGTCAAGTGCCTTAATATTCTTATCATGTACATTTATCCTATATTACTTTAACGATTATCTTAATTGTGATTTGACTTGTGCTTATGGCTTGTACCCATTCTTATAAACTTTCTTTTAGCCCTTTTTTCATCGTAGAGGATTAACTTTTACTGTAAAGACTTGAATAGGTTGAAAAAGGGATGAGAAGATGTTCATTCTAATTCAATATGGTCAAGTATATATGTATTAATTAAATATCAAGAAAACTAGTACCTTAAGACCCTAGGGGAGGTTTGTTTAAAAATACTTAAAACCTTTCTAGTAGGGTAAAGAGGGTAAGAGTTTTATTTTATTTTAGGTGTGCCAGATGGGCGGTGAGCCACCCAAGGGATTGCCGGTTGGGCGGCCTTACCGCTGTCTTAAACAATATGTGAGTTCTGAAGAATGGGAGACGCATAGGGAATGTTGTCACGTGAAGTCGGTGCCGTGCGGAGTAGGTGAATGTGACGCTCGCTTCACGCCAGCAGAAGTGGAGAGGCTGACCCTCCAGCAGAAGTGGAGAGGCTGACCCTCCAGCAGAAGTGGAGAGGCTGACCCTCCAGCAGAAGTGGAGAGGCTGACCCTCCACCGGAAGCGCCATTCCACCTCCTCTGGTGGGGGTCAGCAGGCTGCTGCCGGGGAGCCGCCCCAGAAAAGGAGGAGAGGATGCGAGCTTGGAAGAGGGGATGGCACGGGCAGGAGCTGGGGGTCGATCCCGCGTCGATCTCGACGCCCCAGCTCCAAGCCGCCGTGCGTCCCCGGAAGGAGGAAATGGAGAGCGCAAGGGAGGAGCCATTGGTCACCTCATCGCCCAAACCTTCAACATCCCTCTGCCCTTCAGTAGATGACGCGCCCGCTGCTCGAGGACTCGTGGCGGAGGATGTTTATCCGTGGTGGTCCAGCATTGCTGATGAGGACATTGCCGCCCTGACGGGGCCTGACGTGTCGTTAGACGATCATGATATTGATGCACTGTTGGACCTTTGTAATTAAGAACTCTATAGACTTTTGAGTGATTTTCTTGTAAATATTTGGCAATACAATAGTGAAGCTAGTTTAATTAGCTTGTTTCTGTGTTTGAGGACAAACCTGAATTTTCTAAGAAGGGGGTAGTTGTAGAGACCCACCCTGTATATAGCTATTCATAATATCATATTTAACCAGTGTGTGCTCCTTTAATATCTATAATCAGCATTTAACAACATCATGTCCCTTTAACATGATCATTATATTATTGCAATACGTATGCCAGAATCATCGTATCAGAGGCAGTATATTTATAGAAAAAACCTATTTATCATTGTAAAACGCTGAATTTGCAGTCTCAACTACGCGTCACTTTTCAAAGTGACATCATTTTTTAGTCCCTACCTCATAATTCTTGTCCAATAAGCTGCTCTTTTTGCCCTTCTTACTACCCTACGTAGCCCTAAAAATCTTGGTAATATCCCATTTTTAGTAACATTACATATATTTCTCCCTACGTCGTCCTCGAAATTGCGTATGTCCATTTGTTGCTATATAAACAAGTGCATTTTGCGGATACAATGTAACAATTCCTGCACAGCTGAGATCGAGATCTATCATCTGCTAAACGCATTCGCTAAGACTAACTTTCGGCTAGCTCAGATTTGCTTTGACGATAGGCTTAAAGCTTCAGAGAATATTTGTCACATGGACGTCGCGTTCGACACGCGTAGAGGCATCGGCGTTTGGGTAAGTTAATTTTCAGTACTGTATAGAAATCTATAGCATTCCATTAGGGAGTGAAGAGATTTAAGACAGTAATATTGATCGATAATTGAACTTTGAGAAAACATTTCAAAACTTTCATTTTTCCCGCACATATTTTCTAACGGTGTTATCTGCAGTCTGTAACAGTTGAACAAGATTGGGAGTTTGTCCCGATAAGCCCATATGCTGGGAAGGTTCAAGATAGTACAGAATAGAGATTCACGTTATCAATTAAGTGAATTATTGGTCAAATTAAATCATAACTTTGGGGAAAGCAGACGACTTAGTCACGTGATCACATACGTCACTTTTGAAGTCTAGATTCATTCATTAAAACTTGAGCATCTTTGTGGATTATTGTATCCTAGACAGCTTTTAACTTGAACTTGATTGCAATTGAAAGAAGTCCTTACGGGCACATTCCATTGAGTTCGCACCTCTGGTGTTTAAAATAACACCCTTAGTCTTTGACGGTTGAAAGTTCACAGCTCTTTCCCATTTATCAAAATCTCGTTCGGGCTTTTAACGCATATCTGACGTCACTTTTCATGCTATTAGTTCCTGACTGAATTTATAGAGGGCATAAAATTCAACTTTATTACAAGATCGTTGTTGGCAATTCTCTTCTGATTTGAAGTAGTATCCCGGTCATAATTTTGAAGACATTTTATCAGACTGCAGATTTCAGCGTTATTGAGTTTAATTTCATTCTAATAGATTTAAAGACATTAAGCATTTATGTAAATTATAATCTATATAATTTAAATACTATTTATTCGCATTGTACATATATATTTCAGTTGTGACATAAAACGCAAGTATAATAGAATAGACTTTATTGAATGAATATATTTCTTGTGTGATTTACTGTTAGTTGGTAGTTGGTGTGGTGATATTTAAAGTACCTAATCCCTTATTCTTTTTAGCTTGCTGTGTTGTATTTGTGTAGGTTTATATTTCACCTTGTAACTTCACCCTTTTTACACTAGACCTATCATTCTATCATATTCCTGACACCGATTCATCACTTACCTCATTAGTAATTTCTTATGAAGTACTAGTCCAATTTCCCTTTGTTCTGGCTCACGCTACCTATATTTCTATAATTCACTTCCGGGTTATTGGATAGTATTTTATACTGTTAGCCTGGCCTTAATATGTACTTTTAGTTCTTGCTTATGCTGCCAGAGTGACGTCACTGCTAGGATTCCCATAGCAGTATGATTTAACTCAGCCAATTTTACTGCTTGCTTTAAACGTTCGACCTATGTAACAAATTATTTAATTCCCTCACTGTTTAGAGATCATTTTCCCTTCAATTAGTATCAAATGAAAGCAAATTAATTTTTCTTACTCATGTAACTTAATAAGTTTAAATATTGCAAACTTAATTTTTGCCAGGGTAGTTAGAAGTCAAGCGGGCTGGTAAATAAATTGCTATTTGATGAATCCCTCCTGACTTTAACAACTAATTGCTCAAAAAGTTTAAAAGTGTGACATTTTAGATTAAGATATCTACTTTTAGAGAATTCTCTTGCCTATACAGGGCAAAAAAATCGAGGATTTCCCGTCACAAATTATCCTGCATTCTTGGTTTTACAAGCAAAGGTCCCTAGTCAAAGAGTATCAAGCATACATTTAGAAATAAACAAGCTAATGCTGCTCTAGCACACTAACAAATAAACATAGCATGTAGAAATAGCCTTATGCTGAGTGGAGTTAAACAGCTAGCCAGAGCTTGTGGTTTCTGTTAACAGTTAATAGCAGGCAGATGTAATCATTGGAGGTCAACAGATTTTCAGTAACTAAAAAAACACTGCTTAGCAGTACATAGCAGTGTATGGCAAGTGCATTTTAAATGTGATAAATGTGACAAAGCGACTTCTACATCCCCACTTGGAGAGCACTCTTAGCCAATACCTATACACGAGGTTACGAGCGCTCGATATCGTAGATGATTTAAGTATAGTGGGCTGTATAGCAAGGTTGGTCGGGGTCGGGAGCTGGGGATAATTTTATAATTCAAATAAAGTATAGATAAAACATGCCGAAAATATCTCCAGTCAAGTGACAAGTTATCATCATTACCTAATTCCTTTAAGATATATTATATTTTAGTAAGATTAACTGAAGACCCTATATTGACCTGATACTAGTTCTTGTCATGACTTGAGACCCGTAAATTGAATAATACTCATTCTTGGAGAACTACTCAAATCTATAAATCACCAATTCGAATTAGTCCATTCACCGTGATCGAAATTAATCACAATGGCTCAAGCCAAGAAAAAATCGCTTAGTGCTCTGGTCGAAGAGTTTGATCTAGATAATGAGATAAAATTCAACATTAGGTCTAAGAATGGTTTATTTGGCGAGTTCGTTTGTCCAAGACGCAATCGGAATTCGAACGAAACTTTCTCAGCCCGTTTATATAAGTCAGCGAACCTTTGGTTTGAGTTAAAGTCACAAGAAATGGTCATTCATGACTGGTTAAAGAAACGCCGGTTTGAAAGACAAGTTCTGCTGGAGAAAAAAGTGTTAATAGGATTATCAAACGTATCAACTAGCGATGATGAAGAAGAAAAGATATATGTTTGTTTACACACCATTAGCGACAAATCAGGTGAATTAGTCCCGTCACGGAGCATGAACATTCCAATATCGAGTTGGTATTGCCTAATGGAACAGCAAGGTCCGATTGAATATTACATGCCAAGCGTCACCAGAAAACGCAAAAGTGAAGATGACGAACATAAAAAAATCAAACTATTTCGTTATAGTTTAGAGAAATTCGAAAGTAACGAGACGATTGAAGGAGAATGGAAAAAGACATCTAAAAAGGACTTCATGCAAGAAGTCCTGAAACTAAGCGCTCAAGGTAATTTTAAAATGTATTTCAAAGTTAGTCTGTAACATAAACATTTTAGCACTTGCAATGTACTGTAATGTTAAAACTAGGCTGCACTTAACTCTTCTAAATTTCGACACGGGAAGCATTTTCATTACTTAAGTATCAAACAACCATGCACTCAAACAACCATGCACTCAAACTTTCAAAATAAACTCAATTTGTTTTAGAATATTAAACCAACATTCTATCAATGATGGTAAAAGAAGTACATTTATATTTACATGTTAACCAACAAATAATGTAAGGCAAGATTATCAGTGCAAACTTTTGTAAATGTAAATTTGATAATTTCCAGTGTATACTGTATAAGTGGTAATTTTGCCTAATCATTTAATTTTCCTATTTCCTAATTTTTGCCAGGTTCGGAAAATTAAATGTCGGAAATATTGCCTCTATAATGTTATCCAATGGGAGGTTTCTTGTCATTAGGAAAATTAAAATTAGGAAAATGATAAAATTTGACCATTCGGAAAATTAACCACTCGGATTAAATACCACTTATACAGTATGTTACGCGGAATATGACATATATCCATGGTCGCGTTGAATATGACATATTCCGCAGGTGAGTAAGGAATAATTCACAGTAAACGTGCGATACATTGATTTCAGTAGAAAGTGTTTTGAACGAGATTTGATAATTCCCGGTGTATATACCTTTATTTTGTTCTGTTCAGGTAAAGCAGCTGTAATACAACAAAATATAGCCGTACCATCAACTAAGGATCTAATACGTTTCGTACTTGTATTTGCCTTGAGGTGTAAGCTGCTAGAAGGGATTCTCGAAGAATCTTGTCACGCGTGCTCTTTGGAAATGGAATCTTCGGAGCACCATACCTGCAAGCAACCTTTCCAAGAGAGGGTGGCCTCATGTTATGACATCGCTTTGAAACAAATAATCCCCTACGAGATCCGCACTTATATGAATAAATTGTGTCGATTTCTCGAAATCGATAGTATCAAACAATTCACAATGCTGCAAAAAGAAATTGAAAAAGAGGACCTAAAAGATAACATTATATCTCCAAGTCAGGAACAAGAAATAGTCAACGAAATTTTGAAGGTTTAGAAACCAACTTTTGAAATAGGACTTGAAAGATCCGTTCACACGTGAGTTATATTTGTGTGAACTTTCTTTTGTAATATAACAGTAAGTAAGTTGAGTAAGAATTATGTGAACTCGTTTTGTAATTTAACATTAGTATATATATATATAGTATCAAAATTAATGAACCTGAAATGACTTTATTAATATAAATGAACTTGCTTAGGTGGTGGCGGTACCATTCAAACAACAGTTAAATTTGTGTGAACTTTAATGTTTTATAACAGCAGTATATATAGGGTGATATAAACCCTGGTATAGACCTAAAATGAACCTAAACTGAAATTACAATTTCTTTATTATACCGAGGTGGTGGGTGTTTCTTGAGTAAGAATTGTGCGAACTTTGTTTTGTAATATAACAGTAGTACATATATATATATATTTTTGTATAACAATGTACTGACATTTGCATGATGTTAACCAAATAGATAGTTGTATATTTAGCCTAATGTATTGTTATTAGTTTATTCCTGTAGTCCCAGGAAACATATTTGTTAAACTGTTCTACAGATTAATTTGTAGTAGAACGTCATGGTTGAACCAATTTCTTAATATAACAATAGCTTTTTGACTAATAAATCTAGAAGGGAGACAATAGCAAAGTCGTCAACATCGAGCTTTAACAATGCCAAATGATATGTTTATATTCATGGATAGTAGAGATTCTCTCGATTATTTCCCTTTCAATACTAACAAAGACTTTACAGATAAACTACCCAATAACATAAATGTAGATGGTGATTGGAAGCTGGGACTTTTTGACATTAACAAACCTAATATCGGAATTTCTCAAGATATCGAATACATTGACTTATTTTGTGACCTGGTTGATACTAGCATTATTAATGGAGAGGAGCAACGTGTATTAAGAAGAGTGAGTCCAGGGGAAGGTTGGAGAACATTTAACCCGGTTCTTTATTTAAATCTTGCGAGAACCCAGTTTGATCGAATTCAAATTCATATAAAAGCAAACAACAATCAACCGACCTCATTAAACTCTGAAAGAATCATCTGTACACTTCATTTAAAACAAATCAAGTAGAATTATGCCGAGACTAGAAACATACAAAGATAATCCCAACACTTGGCAAACGTTGATCAGAGCCAGTAGAGAGGGGAGAATTTCAACACAGATAGGGTTTGGGAAGCAGAGAACCAGATGGATCCCTGTTGAATCTATAAAAGAACCAGTTAAAGTGGTTTCACCAACACAAGCTGTTGTCGAACGAGCGAAGTCAGACATTAAACGTCAGAGGTCTATAGACAGTAACTACACACTCAACGAAGCAACTTTAAAAAGAAAAATTGCCAATGCAGACAGTAAACCTTGAAGCAATCACATTAAAAAGAGTCTTAACCAGTAATAACATGACTTCATACAATGATTGTCAAATAAAATTAAAGACATGTGCAATGTGCACACAATGTAGAACTGTATACGTGAAAGTAACATCCCATGACTACATGTGTACATTAGGATTTGAAATTAGTAAAACTTACTTCGGGGAGGTTACCTCTGTCAGCTCTATCTCATTAGTCTTGTTATTTGGTCTTTTCCTCATAACTAGCTTCACCGTCACAACTTAAATGGAATGATTTCATTATGAATCTCATTTGAGATAAAGGAACATACAAACACTTAAGTAAGTGAACATTTATATGCCATGGATTATGTTTCAAAAGAAAAGTATTACGGCTTTATTAAGATTCTGTTTCTTGTTAGAATACTGACTGTATATATGTTGCCAATGTATTTATATATGACACTCATACAATGTACTGATTTTCAAATATTTCAAAATATTAAAAATCGTTCGGTGTCCCTTTAAGTCACTTCAAGTTAAATAGACAAACCTACGCATTGTCAACAATTACTATATTTCTTCTTTATTTGGTGGTCGGTTTAATTTGTTCAAGTCAACCAAATTAAGTAACTGACAAATTCAATGGAAATTTTAGTACCATGTAAATAAGTACCATTCGGTGCATTGTAATATCGTCCGCCAAATTAAGTAGCCGTCAATTATTTAATAATTCAAAAGAACAAATCCACCTGAACAAGTGGCGCCAAATTAAATGGAAGTATAGTATATTGCAGCATTAATAAAATGAAAAACTCACGTGTTATGAGAAATAATACTATCAAAATGCAGGGGACAATGACCCACCATTGTACCATGTCATATTGTTCATCATAAGCTGTATGGCTTTTAACAGTAGAGAACGCTATGTTCTGATTCTGAGAGTCGGTTGTTATTTGTAGACACGTCCCCCCTGTAAACAACCATCAGATATATGTGAAAATATCATCAAAAATTGATTTTTGTAAATAAATGGATATAAAATGTATGTATATGTTTACTAGTTGTTTATACTTAAAAGCTATATGTTTGGTAGTCAACTCGTGGGCAATCTTGTAAGCATAAGACAGTGTAAGGTTCTTTCAATTTTCAAACATTCCTAATCCAAGACTTTACTTTCAAAACAATTGTCAAATGAAATGATATGGACTCACCTACAATATTCTCCAACCTACACAGAGTGTAAGATCGTTACAATTTTCAAACATTCCAATACTGAGTTTGACACATGAGCATAAATGATGGCACCTATCCATTTTGCTAGATACTGACTTGTGGTGTACTATAAAAGTTGTATACAGATGCAATATGCATTACCAAGTAAACTTATCACGTAGGGTTATATGAATGGGGACACTGTTGAGTAAACACATTAAGGCTAGGCAGTGGCTCAAAATGCTGGCAGTTTGTAATAAAACTATAACACCCGTTACAGTATGTTAATGGATGGTAACACCCGTTACAGTATGTCAATGGATGGTTGAAATACATAAAATAATCCAGATTATAATTTTCGTTTCCAAAAGTTTATCCCGTGACCTCGATAAAAACATAGTACTTGATCACTAGGCGGCACCGGGGACAGGGTGGGGACAGGGTGGGGACAGTTTACGTCAACTCCCCGTCCCCCCTACCGTCGGATGATAAGTCACGTGAGAGGGGGATGAAAAGTCACGTGAGAGGTCACGTGAGAGGGAGCAGGCAGAGGGAGCAGGCAGAGGGAGCAGGCAGAGGGAGCAGGCAGAGGGAGCAGGCAGAGGGAGCAGGCAGAGAGAGCAGGCAGAGAGAGCAGGCAGAGAGAGCAGGCAGAGAGAGCAGGCAGAGAGAGCAGGCAGAGAGAGCAGGCAGAGAGAGCAGGCCGAGAGAGCAGGCCGAGAGAGCAGGCAGAGAGAGCAGGCAGAGAGAGCAGGCAGAGAGAGCAGGCAGAGAGAGCAGGCAGAGAGAGCAGGCAGAGAGAGCAGGCAGAGAGAGCAGGCAGAGAGAGCAGGCAGAGAGAGCAGGCAGAGAGAGCAGGCAGAGAGACCAGGCATAAGTCACGTGGAAGCCATTGGAATGCCATTGGAATCAATGTTAAATTGAGCAGGATTCAAAAGTGCCAGCCAGGTGGACATTCTCTACTACTGGCAGTTCATAAATGAAACAGACTTGAGTCTAATGGATGCAGATACGCTTTCGGAAGATCCAATAGTCATTAACAAAGCACCTTTTAAAGAATTGGAGTCAACCTATTACAATTCAATTGTCAATGAATCAGTTCTTTCTTGGGATATGAAAAAAGTATCAGAAGCTA